GGAAAAGATCCTGAAATGTGCATGTGAAAAAAATCAATTAACAGATAAAGAAATGGCCTCTCACAGGAAACTCTACAGGTCAGAAGAGAATGGAGCAACACATTCCAAACTCTAAAAGTAAAAAAATGTCGACCAGGAATAAGGTACCCAGCAAAACTTTCCTTTGTCTTTAAAAATGAAATAAAATTCTTTCACTAAAGAAAAGTTAAAAGAACATACCTCTTCCAAACCTGCCCTACAAATGATACTTAATGATGTTCTCTTGACAGAGAAGAGGAATAGCACCCACCAAATCCAAAGGCAAATGTGAAGAATATCCCAGTAAAAGAACCACAGAAGACTAAATCAATGAAAAACTCATTGCTAAAATGACAGGACCAAATTATCCTGAATGTAAATAGATTAACCTCATCAATCAAACATCATAGACAAATACATTGGATTAAAAAAAAGCAAAACCCAGGACCTGGCGTGATAGTGTAGCAGTTAAAGTCCTCACCTTGAATGTGCCAGGATCCCATATGGGCGCAGTTTATAATCCCAGCAGCCCTGCCTTCCATCCACCTCCCTGCTTGTGGCCTGGGAAAGCAATTGAGGACAGCACAAAGCCTTGGGACTCTGCACCCGTGTGGGAGACCCAGAAGAGGCTCCTGGTTTTGGACTAGCTCAGTTCCAGCCGTTGCGGCCTCTTGGGGAGTGAACCATTGGATGGAAGACCTTCCTCTCCGTCTCTCCTCCTCTCTGTATATCTGCCTTTCCAATAAAAATAAATAAATCTTTAAAAAAATTCTATGTGTTGCCTACAGGAGACACATCTCACCAACAAAGATCAGTGGAAACTATATCATGAATTTTGATGTTTTTTGCTGTTTAGTTTCATCTCTGCAAAACACTTTCTCATTAAATTCTTCACTTACTCATAGATCATACAGCGGCATCATTTTAAGAAGATTCTTGATTTTCTTTCTCATCTCTTCAGTGACACATTAGTCATTCAGTAGCATTTTACTTAACTTCATGTCATTTTAATTTCCTTTTTTTTCTTCCTGTTGTTGATTTTATTGTGTGACTTTTCATTTAGGGGAATGTATAGTAACCATATAATGGAGAGTATCATATCAAGATATGAGGATACAATGCAGTGTGCATCTCTACTTCCAGACAAAGATGGGCTCCAATGAAACTGTTAACTGTATCTTGACAACAAGATGCTGGACTCTCTGCCATTGTCCATGCCCACAATGATGGACATATGACTGTGTATGAAGAGCTATACTATAGTAATAATATAGGGGAAGTCAGGGAGGAGTTGAGGAGGGGAACAGGGAAATCTCAGGACCTGTGGAACTCTATCATAAAATGATGATGATAATAATGAAAGGAAGGAAGGAAGGAAGGAAGGAAGGAAGGAAGGAAGGAAGGAAGGAAGGAAGGAAGGAAGGAAGGAAGAAAGGAAGGAAGGAAGGAAGGAAGGAAGAAAGAAAGAAAGAAAGAAAGAAAGAAAGAAAGAAAGAAAGAAAGAAAGAAAGAAAGAAAGAAAGAAAGAAAGAAAGAAAGAAGAAAGAAAGAAAGAAAGAAAAAGAAAAAGAAAAAAGGATGTATGGGGAAGGTAGGGAACGCTGGACCAGCACATGCATCCTGGTCTCCAGGTAGCTGTGCTGCAGATTCCCCAGGGAAGGGGGACTGGGGACATACTGCAGTGAGAGTAGTTGAGGGAATGCCTGACAAGGGAGGAATGACTTCTAGGGGCTTCCACAGACTGAATTACTGTACTTTTGGGTAGGCGAGGGAGCTGTGGATGGAGTGGTTTAGAGGCAAGGAAACTGGAATGCATGTCTGGGTCAGGTCAGACACCCAACCATGTGGGAGACCTGGGCTGGGCTAAATAGCTTAACCTGCAGCCTGCTGGCACATGCAAAAGCTGGGGCTGGTCGGGGGAATGCCTGGTGGGCTAGGTCACAATACCCACCCACAAATGTTGGAACAGGGACAGGCCATGTCAGGCTGGGCTGCAGCACCTACCATAATACAAAAGAACTGGATTTGGGGGTAGATTTTGCAGGGGACTTGTGAGCTTGCCTCTGTGGGAACGGTAACAGATCAAACCAACCTGGACCACAGAATTCACCTGAGAGGAACCCACCTAAAAGTTATGGGAGCTGGAAGGGATCTGGTCAGGGTCAGCTACTGCACTCACTGGCACATGCAAAGGCGGGGACTGGTGGCAGACAGTATCAAGCAGGGCTGCTGTACCTACTGGCACACATGAAATCTGGGGTTGGGAGCAGTTCTGGTGGAGGAACTCAACCTATGACACTGCAGCTCCCACTGTGGAGCACAAGAGCTTGGCCTGGGGCAAGCCAGGCCAGGTAGTGCTGCAGCACGCATTGGCATGACTGTGGACTGGGTTTGAAGGCAAGCCAAACTGGCCTAGGCTGTAGCATCCATCAAAGAAAATCAGAATGGCTCTGGGTCAGCAGTACAAACCTGTAGTACTTGCAATGAGTGCCAGGACTAGGAACCAGCAATGTCAGTCAGGGCAGTAGCACCCACTGACATATGCAAAATCCATTGCTAGGGGCAGACCTGGTAGGGCACTTGGGGAATTCCCCAACTAGGACACAGCTCCTGCTGTTGAGTGTGAGAGCTGAGGCTGGGGGAAAGCCAGACCAGGATGGGCTGCAGCACCCTTCGGCATACATATGGGCCAGGTCTGGAGGTAGGGTAGGATGTGGCAGTCCATGGCACATATTGGCATGAGCAAGAGCCAGGACAAGGTGCTGGCTGGGCCTGATTGGACCACAACATCCTCCTGTTCACATGAGGGCTGTTACTGGGACTGGGCCAGGTTGGGATAGGCTGCTGCACTTGTTGGTAAGAGTTGGACTGGGGGCCAACATAGCTGAGGTAGGCCAGAGCACATTCTGCTGAGTGCCAAGACTGGAGGTCGGCCATCTCAGACTGGGCCACAGTACCAGCCGACATACAAGACCTAGGGCTGGGAATGGGGCTGGTAGAACAACAACAGGGACTTCCCTGCTGTGTCACTGCTTCCACAGGTGAGCATGACAGGTAGAACTGGCGGTGCTGCATGGGGGCAGAGACAGGCTGGACTAGGTTGTTACACCCTCTGGCACACTCAAGAGACAAAAAGGGTGCAGGTAAGCTCAACTAGGCTACAGTATCAGCTGGCAAGAGCCAGGATTGGGTATGAGTCATGTAAAGGTTACCACAATACTCCGTGGTAGATGCAAGATCCAGGGCTGGGAGCATGCCTGACAAGGGAACTGTGGGCATTTCCCTGGTCGGCAGTACCTAACACTGGTGAGCATGACCACCAGGGCTGGGAATGAGCCAGGCTGGCAGCTATAGTCATACAAAGGTCTGGGTCTGGGAGTAGGGCAGACTATGCTAAGCCACATCCTTGGGTTTCACAAAAACTAGATGGCATGTGGGCTGGGCCTGCCTAGGCTGGAGTAGAGGCTGGCACATGTCAAAACAGGCTGGAAACAAACTTCAAGGGAGTTACCGAGGGCCAACCCAACTAGGTAGTGACAGCTGCTGCTATATAAGGAGGACCACGTTTGTGCTGGGCTTGCTGGGCTGGGCTGCAGCATCGGTTCCCATGAGATATGAAGTTGGGGAGGAATTGACCAGGCAGCTGCAGCTATTGGTATATGCATTGGCTGGTGGAGGTGAAAGACCGCACCTGACCCTGCACTGGCTGGTACACACAAGAGTCAAGTCTGAGGTCACTCCAGGTAAAGTTTCTTAGGGGTCTCCACAACTGGACTACAGGACTCAGACTCAGGCTACAGGGAAAAACCATAGGATGTCTTGTCTAATCTTGGAGTGCATGTATCAGGGCTGGGCCTCCTCAGCTGCTGCCTGTGCAATGCACATCATAGACAACATGCCCAGAGGCACACGGGCACATGACAGCCAGCTCATCTAGGCTCTAGGGGATGTCAAGTGCATCATCAGAGGATAGAAAACAGAACAGGTTGGATAATTCTGGTCAAGCTTTACAGCATGTTTTAGGGTCTATGGATACAATAAGGTGGATTTTGTTAACCAACAGACCTTGCAAAGATTCTCTCAACCCTGGAATAAGGAAACCAACAAGTTCTTAAACCACTCAAATAATAAGCTTAAAACACTCTTTCCAGCATTGGGATGTCTAAGACATCATTAAATGACTATGTCCCAACCACGGGTGCTAATGTAGTTTGACAGCAAGGAGCAGCTCCTTCCCCTCATGTCTTGCAGACATAGGAAAAAAAAAAGGAAAACATTCATCCCACCAACATTCCTCCATATCTAACTCACCACATTTTAATCAGAGGCCCACATGGGTGTGTATCCCTCTCAATTATATAAATAATATTAAAAAGAAAAGAAAAATATCCTATTGTATGGACAAAAAGCTACTTTTCAATGGATCTATTTAATATATACAAGCTAATAATATGTATAAATGTAATAATGTATATAAGAGAGAGGCAGCAATGTCAAATTTTTGTGAAATGTATGTTTGCAACCATCATACTAGTCCTTCCTTTTTAAATATACATTTACAATTTTTTAAAATAAAGTGTTTGGATTAAATAGCAATAGGTCACTAAATTGTATAACTTTAAGTGATTAACACAGTGAACTTTATGTTACAAGAATTTTATCTATAAACAAAAAAGAGCTGTTGAGTATCTGAAACCGCGGAACTATTGCAGAGCTTTCTGGTTTGTTCTACACATGTCAGCAACAGCAGGAAGGGCATCCCACAGTTATGTGATCCCATGGCATGAGTACAATGCTATCTTCATGTTGGAACAGAGTCAAAAGGAAACAGAATCCAGATGCAGAAAATTTTTTAAAGAGAATAAACTACTTTTTATACAACAGATAAAATTACTTCTTATCCATTTTAGAGTATTTAGTATTATGTAGGATTATAATTCGAAAATTAATAAATTCAAAAGCAAAACAAAATGGCTACATACCTGGGTTGATGGACGGAGGGGGTGGAGGCGGAAGGGGCTGTCCCTCTTTAATGGCTATTGTACACTGCTTTGCTGATCGAATTGCATTGATGAAGTCTTCATGTTGTTGTCTCCAATTAGATTTCCTCACAGGTTGAGTCTATAAAAAAATAATAAAACCAACAAATACTATTCTAGATTATAAGCCTCTCAATAATCAATTTCATAAAGCTGCATTTGAACCTACAAGAACTAGGATTATGGAATATGGGGCAAAAGAATCACGTTACTAAGGGGATTTGGAAAATTCAGTAAGGAAATTTATATGTCACAAAATAAAAATCAGAATACTGAAACTCTAAAAGCTAAAGGAAGACAAGTGTAACAGTAAAAAGCTTCCCTCCAAAGTTAATTACCGGATGTAAGCCAACCTAATGAAAATATAAGCAAGATCCCTTTTGCTGTATCTGGAAAGTGTCTGAAATATATTTGGAAATTAAGTGAATGAGATTAAATAGAAAACAGCAAAAGTAAATTTTCATATTTATGTAACATTGCCCAGTTCTCTCAAGGTTTAACCAGAGAGCCCACAGATCAGCTTCCATGAACGTGTTAGGACGGACATGAGACATACCTGTAGCAGCTGGGACGGAGGTGCCTTCTTCACGGTAGGTATATCGGTGCCCTGTAATCTTTGCTTCAGGGAATTGAAAGGCTTACGCTTTTTGTTGAAGAGTTTTCTACATATTGGATCATGCCTTTCCTGAAAAGGAATAGGAGTTGGAATTTTTAAAATGACACATTTATTAATGTCTAGGTGTACAAGCTGGATTGCAGCTTCAGAGCCTCATTCTCTTTCTCACAGACCAAAGCAGAGTAAAAATGTCTGGCTACCCTCATCATGCTGCATATGACTTGATTCCGTATTTGGGTACAGTCAGTAGAATGCTTTTACAGCTAAAAAGACTTCAAGTTTGGTTGTACATATTCAGTTTTAAAACAAAGGCAGTAGGGGCCTGGCACCGTGGCCTAGTGGCTAAGGTCCTCGCCTTGAACGTGCAAGGATCCCATATGGGAGCTGGTTCTAATCCCTAATCCTGGCAGTTCTGCTCCCCATCCAGCTCCCTGCTTGTGACCTGGGAAAACAGTTGACGATGGCCCAAAGACTTGGGACTCTGCACCCACATGGGAGACCCGGAAGAAGCTCCTGGTTCCCAGCTTCGGATTGGCTGAACTCCAGCTGTTGTGGCCACTGGGTAGTAAATCATTAGACAGATCTTTCTCTGTCTCTACTCCTCTCTGTATATATCTGACTTTGCAATCAATACGAAACAAAGGCAATATACTCTTCAATCCACAACCCTGTAAATATTCAGCATTTCTGCCTCCAACATGTAGAGTTTCACATGTGTACCTATCTTCAGGAAGCCTTTCACTGCAACATTTATGCCCTCTTCCTTGGTGGATAGGCAACAACTATTATTTATACCATATTAGACAAAATATTGGTCATATAAAAATCTCTGTACCTAAGAACCAGACAACCTAAGCTAAAAAGAGAAAAAGCAAGTAAATCAGTTGACCAAATGCTCTCTGTAGGAACTGGAGATAAGCTTAGAAAGCGACACTCCAGAGCTCACACACTCACTTGACACTGAGTGGTTTCTTTTCCAGTGGTACCTCTTGGGTGTCAACCATATTCTCTGGTCTGTAGGGGAGCACACCGATAAGTTACAGCACCACAACAGGTAATGTGAACACTTCCCTATTATTCAGGAAGTCCTATTTACAGTAAGCTAAAAACTCACATTTCATTTTTTAAATTCCCTAGAACAATAAAACTTGCAATCCAGTGTTTTGCTCTGATATGCAGTCAGAATAATAGTTCCAAAAACTTTAAGTTCAATATAAGTTTACCAGACTTAAAATATCCCAATTAACAACAGCATTATGCTTTTTTTCCTCTCTCTCTCTCTCTCTCTCTCTGTGAGACACAGAAAGTGAGAATCTTGGGAATCCTTTTTAGAGTACTGGAGTTGAGCACCTGTTTGATACCCTAATTTTTAAATAATAGAACTTTTATTCAGCCTTGTAACTATCAATCAGGGACTTGACATGCTGTTAACTTGAATCTGGATGAAAACTACATCTTGGAACATGTCTAACAGCCATATATTATTTTGTTCAGATGGTATAAAATCCCTGAAATTGGAGGGTTTTTGGATACGTGGCAAAGCAGAAAACAGGAAGGCTAAAGGACCTGTCAGAATTAGTGACAAATTTGTAACTAAAAGCCAAGTTTCCAGATGCCTGAAATTCAATGCTCATTCCTCTTGACTAGCTAATTTCCCTGGTGCTTTGGCCTTGAAATTCAAATTTTTGATGCTTAAAGAAAAGGCGGAAGAGCCAAAGCTTCTCAAGGGATAATGGACGGTGCCAAGACCCTTCCATCTGGCATCCTTTTAGGAGGACCATGTTTAATAGGGTCAGTTTGGAGGGAAGCTGCATCCATCTGCCTTGGTGTCCTGCGGGCCTGCCAGCCACAGGTTAGGTACTCTTGATCCCATGCTTCTCCTCCACATCTGTCTTCAATCTTTGCACCACCCCTCCTCACTGACTTGACAGTTCATTTAACTCCAATGAAACACATCTACAAAACGTCTTTACGTTTACCAGAACATCTGCTGCAAAGCGTCTTCCACAGACTTCACAGGGAAATAACTCCTGATTGCCATCTGCATTAAGATTCAAGAGTACATTATGTTAGTTTCATGGAATTGCCTGGCCCAGAAGAAATCACTGACGAGGTGACCTCAACAGCCTGATATCTTCACTCTTTCCCCTCTCCACCAACTGTTTCCCACTTCTGGTAAGATCCTATGTAAACTTCCTTGCTTTTCTTCCCTCTTCACTAAACAAATAAATTCCATATTCTTTAGGCAAGTAGAGTACAATTACTTAATTTAGTACTTACTATGTTTTAAAATGAGGTACATTACAGCCTTGCTTTAGATGCAGCTACAAAGTTAGTACCTTAGTATAAACTCACAAATAACCCAATGGCAGCACCTTGAGAATCTGCCAGAATCTCTACCTTCCAGTGAGGGTGGAAGTTTCCTATTGTATCTCCAAACAGCTAAGTACCTGACCCTGTGCTAAGGCTTTTTAAACTGAGGTTGTGTTGCAGCACGTTGACCTGTCTCCCATGCAGCTTCCTCTACCACACTCAGGAAGGTAGCAGCTGATGGCCCGAGTACTTCAGCTTCCGCTACCAATGTGGAAGACTACGATGGAATTCCCGGCCCCCGGCTTTGGCTTGGTCTAGATTTAGTTATCGTGGCCATTTGGGGATTGAAGTAGCAGACAGAAAATCTCTTTTTCTTTATTTCTCTTTTTCTCTGCCTGATGCTCTGCCTTTCAAATACATAAGTAAATCTTTATAAAAATCCAGATTGAATGTATAAGCCAAACAAGAATTGAGTTGCTACCGTAGGAACAAACATTCCTCCTGACTGTTTAAACTTGTTACATGAAAAGATATGGAAATTTTGCAAGAAACCATACAAGGGCCCAGCATAGAAAAGGAAGGAACAGAGCTCACAGAGGTGGCATAGCAAGCTAATCCTGCAGATGCAGCATTGGTTCATGTTCTGGCTGCTCTACTTCTGATTAAGCTTATAAAAATGAAAAGTTTTTTTTTTTAAGGGAAGAACATACGCAAATTATTTTAAATGAATTTATGAAAGTGTCACAAGAAAAGTAAAGCATTACAGAATTCTGAAAAAAAAAGTTTAACTTGTTACTTCCTTTCAGTTCATTTGGAGTTGAATACATAAATTTAAAAAATAGGTTGAAGGCCTGGTGTGGCAGCCTAGCAGCTAAAGTCCTCTTCTTGCATACTCCATTTGGGCACTGGTTCTAATCCCAGCAGCCCTGCTTCTTATCTAGCTCCCTGCCTGTGGCCTGGGAAGGTAGTTGAGGATAGCCCAAAGACTTGGGACCCTGCACTCGCATGGGAGACCTGGAGGAAGCTCCTGGCTCCTAGTTTCGGAGCTCCTAGCTTTCTACAACTCCAGCTGTTGTAGCCACTTGGGGAGTAAATCATTAGATGGAGGACCTTCCTCTCTGTCTCTCCTCCTCTCTGTACTTATGCCTTTCCAATAAAAACAAGTAAATCTTAAAAAAGAATACGTTGAGATTTTTGAGCACAGGATTTGCAGTACAAGGACAATTGGGATTTTACCAATGACTAACCCAACCAGAGACAATGAGTTGGAGGAATCTGAATAGTGCTGTAGGTGAGAAACCATGAATGGAGAGAGGGGTGTGTGTGCACAAAAACGAGGAGTTTAGTTAAAATGCTGAAGACGAAAACATTTAAATGGAAAATAGAGAAGTAGGAGACTGTGTCAAAGAATCTACAACATAATTAGATTTGTGGGATTAGTGTGCAGGTATAAAAAGACAATGTTTGAGAATAATATTAAGTTTACAGACAGAAGGATGGAGACCACAGTAGGTTTGTGGATAGAAATGAGGAACTTGCAAAGATGGACCATCTCAGGAATAAAAATGATCTCAGCTTTGGAAATATAGAGTTAAATCAAGTTGTCCAGCCAGCAGGATGGAAAGGAGGGAGGTCACGGTTGGAGTCCCAGATGGAGGCTTTGAGTAATGAGGTAAAGGCATGATGTTGCCAGTGAAGAAGTCATGGAAAGAGAAGTACAGAGTGGATCCTTAGAGAAACTCACACTTCAGGGCCAAGAAAATGAGGATGATAAGCCAGGAGCAGCAGAAAACAGGGTCATGGAAACTGAAGGAAAGCAATTCGAAAAAGGAAGTTCTAGTTAAAAGGAAGCAGATGGTAGCTCGCTATAGACATTGTTGATTTAAACAATTTCTTCTCACATTTACTGATTGAAATTGTATTTTTAATAAAGGTCATTCATCATAGCACACAGGAATACCGCACTATCTCTGTTCCTTTGGCCTTCTGTCCAAAACTAGATCTTAATTTGTTTTTGTCTGCACCAGTACCCCAATCCCACATTTTACAACCTACATTTTATTAACTTACTTGTTAAGGAAAACACTCATCTTGATTATAAAATTGTGACTGTTTTTTTCTTATACTTTGGTAAAGTATAACCTACTCTTATGAATGTCAATGACATCTGCATGGTGCTTTCTTATGTCCAAAAAACATTGCACATGTTTTTGCATTTTTTAACAGTAACTTTGCGACCCTTTAGTACTATTTTTATTTATCAGATAAGAAAAAATGGAGGCTCAAGGATAGGTGATTCTAAGATTGTGTCAGCACCAACCTGCAAAGCAACTGGAAATCTCTAGAGGACCAATCCCTCTTGTTGTGTTTCAAAGAGTCCACAGAGTTAAAAATGACAGACATAGGGCCAAAACGACAGACATTGTAGTATAGTCAGTTAACCTACATCTTGTGACCACAGCATCCCATATCAGAGTGCTGCTTCAAATCCACCTCCAATCCAGCTCATTGCTAATGTGTCCGGGCAAGTAGCAGATGATGCCACCCACACAGAACACTGAAGCAGAGTTCCAGGTTCCTGTTCTCAGCCTGATCCAAGTCTAGCTACTCTGAGCAATTGCGGAGTAAGCCAGTGGATGGAAGCTCTGACACTTCCTGTTTGTCACTCTGCCTTTCAAATAAATAAATCTTTTTGAAAAATCAAATGAAATGACAAATAAGATACAATATGGTTCAACATTGGAATACAGATATATGATCACATTTTGAACTATGTTCAACTTGGAAGCTTGACTAAAAGCAAATAAAAAAGCATACTTGCCTAGCCAGCTGAAACCAAACACAAAGGTCAATGAAGTGCCTATGTGATCAACAGACTCTTACAAGAACTCTGAAACACAACACCCTTCAATAGGCAAATGGTTAAGGAAACTTACATGTTCATACCCAGGGTAGTAAGAAATGAAAAGAAAAATATTGATATATGCTGCAACCTGGATGGACCTTAATCCTGAGACTAAAAACCAATTTCAATAGGTTTCATCCTGTATGATTCCTTTTGTGTAACAATCTCAAAAGCACAAACTATAGATAATGGAAAGCAGATTAGAGATTTCCAGAGACTGTTGATTTGTAAAGGTAGTTGTGATTATACTGGGGGCAGAATGAGGATGATTTTTGTATGATGGAAGTGTTATGGAACTATCTTTGTGGTGGGGGTTAATACATGTTGTGAAATGATACAGAGCTGTGAAGACACAGCTACCAGTGTCAATTTCCTGGGTTTGATAATATACTATAATTTTTAAAAATAAAATGTGTTGCATGCTCAAATAGGCTGGTTAAATAGAAGAGAAAAAATAGTATAACTTGAAAATATACTAGGTGAGGAACACATGGAATCTCCATGCTACTTTATGTAGTTTGTGAAAACAGAATGATTTCAAATTAAAAGCTTCAAATTGTTAACTGGGGGCTGGCACAATGACTCAACTGGTTAATTAGTGTGTCTTACAGGTGGTATCCCATATGGGCACTTGTTCGTGTCCTAGCTGTCCCATTTCCTATCCAACTTCTTGCTTATGGCCTGGGAAGGCAGCAGAGGATGGCCCAAAGCCTTGTGACACTGCATCTACATGGGAGACCTTGAAGAGGTTCCTAGCTCCTGACTTTAGATTGGATCAGAACCAGCCATTGCAGCATTTTGGGGAGTGAATCAGCAAACAGAAGATCTTTCTGTCTCTCCTTCCCTCTGTAAATTTGCCTTTCCAATAAAAATAATTAAATGTTAAAAAGAATTTTTCTTTTAACTGAGATCAGTAAGCCATGGCTAATGGGTCAAATTTGGGGCTATTTTTGTTTAAAAAAAATGTATTTGAACAGAGCCATGTTCATTTTGATAGACTATCTATTGCCAATTTCCTATTTAATCAGCAGAGATAGAAGTTGTCATGGAGACCGCATGACCTGCCAAGCCAATAATTGTGCTTCTTGGCCCTCAACAGGAAGAGGCTGCCAATAGTTAAATGAGAGTATAGCTATTAAAAAATGACTTGTGGGAGAAGAACATGGAAAAATGTTAATGGTAGAAGCCAGCATTGTGGCACAGTGGGTTTACTAAGGCACTGCTTGCGATGGCAGCTGCCCACATTAGAGAGCTTGTCCAAGAAACAGCTGCCAACTTCCAACACAGCTTCCTGCCTATGAGCCTGAGAAAGCAGTGGGTGATGTCAAAGGACACCATGTCCTGCCGTCCAACTATATGGAAAATCAGGTACAAGGAACTTTACCACCCACAGGATGGTAACCCCAGAATAGGAAACTGACCTTCCTCTCTCTATGCGTTCCTCTCTGTGCATTAGTCAACCTGGGGTGCAGGGAAAGGAATAGATACTAAGGACAGGCAGGTAGGTCAACATGGAGATAGATGCACAGTACTTTACATTATTTTTTTTTAAAGATTTATTTATTTGTATTGGCAGATACACAGAGAGGAGGAGAGACAGAGATCTTCCGTCCAATGGTTCACTGGCTTAACTGGTTCACTCCCCAACTGGCTGGAGCTGAGCCAATCCAAAGCCAGGAGCCAGGAACTTCTGGTTCTCCCATGCAGGTGTAGGGTCCCAAAGCTCTGGGCCATCTTCGACTGCTTTCCCAGGCCACAGGCAGGGAGCTGGATGGGTAGCCGAGCTGCCAGGAATAGAACCTGTGCCCGTATGGGATCCCGGACGTTCAAAGTAAGGACTTTAACTGCTACGCTATCACACCAGGCCGCATTATTTTTGATAGTCTTGGTCCCAGTATCATTGCAAACACTCAGTTAACAAACACCAGACCAATCAGTCCCAGGGGGAATATAGGGTTAGTTTCCTCTCCATTTCTGGTCACACACCGTCAACAGATTGATACAAACCTTGCTTTACATGCTTCTATTTCAAGACAGTGCATTTTATATATTGTTGATTTGCTAACATTGAACTCAGACCTGAAGTCCACCTAATGCGGTTTCTCCTTGAGACATGTCATAGTCTTGTGCTTAGGAACACTAGATGGCACTTCAACATTCTGCTTGGCAGCAGTTTTAAACAATGAAGCAACCAGTAAAAACACAAAAGAACGTGGCATCAAATTATCTGTGGAAAGAACGGATAAGAAGGTGAAGTATCACCTTGTTCAACTTCAGCTGGGAAATGTGCATCAGACTACTCATGACAATTTTCTGTATGCCCACAATCACTGTACAAATACTGCAAGTCCCCCAACAAGCTGTTGAACTTCTCTGGACAATAAGATGCTGGACTCTACGCTTGGTATATGCTTGCATGAATCTCAACTGAACTTGAACTGTGGTATGCAACAAGGTGGAGGAATCCACCATGGGGGGAGGGTTTGGGGGAATCCCAGTACCTATAAAACTGTGTCACATAATGCAATGTAATTAATAATAAGAAGAAGAACAAACAAATACTGCAAGTCTGAAGATAGGGATTATAAGTAGGAATTACTAAGTAGGCAATTTGCAAACAGGGCATCCGTTAATAACTACCATATAAGCAGATGCATGTATATTTACATAGGTATGTGTATAATCCAGTGGTTAACCTCATGAGCAGTGATACTTAAAGCACAGATACTGCCATGCCTACCTTGCCCCAAGTGGCTCCCAGAACTCTAAGAGGCAAATGAAAACTTCCTTGGTAATCATCCCACTAGACAACATGTAAAGATAATATCATTGAGAATTCCCGAACAATCCACTCAGATCGCCACTCTATAACAAAACCCATTCATCAAATGTTACTTGCCCTTTCAGAATTTCCAGTGTTTTTCTCCCACTCTCCTTCAATTTTAATCACGGGCAATCAGATTGGCATTTCCAAAGAGCTGAAGAAAATATCAGCATATTAAGTCTAAAGCAAACCAAAAAGTAATTGAAAGAACAATGAGAGCTTTTGGAAATTAAAAAAAGGCTTACGGGCCCGGCGTGGTGGCGCAAGTGGTTAAGGTCCTCGCCTTGCACGCCCGGGATCCCATATGGGCGCCGGTTCTAATCCCGGCAGCCCCGCTTCCCTTCCAGCTCCCTGCTTGTGGCCTGGGAAAGCAGTCGAGGACGGCCCAAGGCTTTGGGACCCTGCACCCGCGCGGGAGACCCGGAAGAGGCTCCTGGCTTCGGATCGGCATAGCATCGGCCGTTGCGCTCACTTGGGGAGTGAATCATCGGATGGAAGATCTTCCTCTCTGTCTCTCTTCTCTGTATATCCGCCTTTCCAATAAAAATAAAAATAAATCTTAAAAAAAAAAAAAAGGCTTACAGGAGAAATGAAAAACTCAACAGAAGATTCAAAGGTAGTACTAGGAACCTCACAGTAGGGCAAAATGGCATAGAAATGGGAAAGAGGGTAGTGTTTTCAGACATTAAAGTTCTCAAAGGTTATAATCCACGTACTCCACCTCACTGAATTACAAAAGCATGAATAAAAGAGGACAAGGAAATTTAACGTTGGAGGGAGAGTTTCCAGGATGACAATTGGCTGGAGGCACGTGATTAGAGGCGGATGTTCAGTTACTGTGAGCAATATATTCACCATCTGCATTCCTAGGGTTTCCTAGGCAAATTCTCTCTGTGGCTGATTTGATCATGTTCCAGATGTCCCACAAGTGCCTGTTCGTTCCTCCTGTTATAGCCTACTATTTACATCGGCTAGGACACTCAGTCTGTCCCACTGAAGGCTCTTCCTCTCTTCCCTGGAGGACTGCAGGTAGGAAATGGAGAGCTTAGAAGGAGGGAAGTCCAAACAGGTCCAGGAAGGCCCACCTGTGAGGACTTGATTCCCAGTCACCCTGCTGACACTGGCACTAGGACTTCTGAGAACTTAAGTCAGATCTAGGACTGTTCATCTTTTCTAGGCTCGCTTCACCTAGCAGTAGCAAGTATCTTCCAGAGTTAGGTTTCTGTTGTTCAAAACTTGGCAAGATGTGTGTTTGTAAGTACGACAAGCATGAGACAGAGAACGGTCATGTTAAACCTAACAACCTGGGGCCCGGCGCGGTGGCACAAGTGGTTAAAGGTCCTCGCCTTGCACGCCCGGGATCCCATATGGGCGCCGGTTCTAATCCCGGCAGCCTCGCTTCCCTTCCAGCTCCCTGCCTGTGGCCTGGGAAAGCAGTCGAGGACAGCCCAAAGCCCTGGGACCCTGCACCCGCGTGGGAGACCCGGAAGAGGCTCCTGGCTTCGGATCGGCATAGTATCGGCCCGTTGCGCTCACTTGGGGAGTAAATCATCGGATGGAAGATCTTCCTCTCTGTCTCTCTTCTCTGTATATCTGCCTTTCCAATGAAAAAAAAAAATAATAAAAATAAATCTAAAAAAAAAAAAAAAAAAAAAACCTAACAACCTGGATAATAACACCTTTGAGTTCCCCAAGAGGAAAGAGTGGAATCAGGGACTGGACTCACAGGGAGTTTCTATTTCTTAACTTGAATAATGGGCATATGTTAACTTTATTGTACCTTTCACCACAATCACTTTTACTCTCTCTTGTCCTTTAACGACAACAAGCAAACGTTGTAGAACATATGTCAATGCACATGAAGAAGCTCTATGAGGCCAGGAAACAGTAAAGCTACAAGATGGCTAGAGCTCCGTCCTTCAGCTAGGAGACCTGATGACATCACAATGGAGGAACAAATACTGTGCTTCACAGGCAATATATGCAACAGCCTTTAAGATAATGTACTCAGACTTGTAAAAGGACAGTTTGACTAAGATATCTGGCAAAATGGTCTCACCCAAAATACATTCTAAAATGCAGCAAATTCTTCATGATCTTGCACTCCACCTGGGATGTCATGGATCCCAATTTTATTTTAACTTGTTAATCCTGTGAGCCCAGGTTGTATTTCCCGTTTCTTCTGAATGTCTTCCTCTCATCTGTCCACTCATTTGTGCACCACTTACAGACTGTTAAGGGCCAGGTACTGTTCCAGAATCTGGGGATGGAACAGTAACCAAAACTTCTGCTCTCCTTCTATGAAGGAGACTAAAAGTTTGTATGCCCAAAGATGCTCTAGAGAATGGAAAGCAACGGAGGGAGATACATACTATTACTAAATACACACTCACCAAAAAGTTTATAGGGAAAGTGGCCATTAAGTACCAACCTTACGGAAGGCTCACCTGCAGTAAGAACAACAGGACAACAGCAACGGCCAAGATCCTCAAGTGGCGAGTATATTCTACTGCACAGGCCTGGCCTTATCAAATGCAGCTGTAAGAATCCTAGTTCTGTGATCGCTCAACATTGAGCATGCAGCTCATATTAACACCAACTACTGGTTAACTAAAACACCAAAAACACTTATTCAAAATACTAGTCTCTACAATGAAATAGATCTTTAAATTGCGGATATAATCAGCTTAAATCACAATCTACTTAGCAACATTTCCTGAATCGCAAATGTTAAGACACTGATTTAGGTGGAGTCATCTGTAGGGCAAATTAGCACCTCATGAGCTTTTGAATTGCATCACAGCAAAGTAATATCCAGTGTCTACAAGAACTGCTGGTACTGGAGAATCTTCAAACTGAAAACGCTATCAAAATAAACTGTCAATGCTTCTAAGATTTACCTTTCTAGCACTAACAACCACTATCTGACCCTCTGCTTCTACAGTACCTTATTTCTACAGTGACAATAGACTCTACCTAATTTCTATAATGACACTACACTCTTGATCATTTTTAATCAGTGTTGATTATCTAATTCTGATTTTCATAATTCTTTTATTTAAAATTCTGTTAACTTACTGAAACTGACTAAGCCTTGGTTAACACCAATTTTGGAAACACCATAACCAAATAATTACAGATGAAGATACTTTCTAATAATTTAGATATAAATGCGGCTCACCTGCTAAAAATGGGTCTGCCTCAGCCATTCTGTTCCTCAGATCAGCACTGTCTCCACAGATTTTTACAGTCCAGTCCAGGTAGTAACATATTAGTCAGAGGCACAAGAACAAGGACCACTAACTTCTCTGCTGCAAGAAGTCACAGTTTACCAAACAATTAACAATTGTGATGTGTCACTGATTATACCTGGAAAAGTTTAAAGTTTACGTGAAAACAACTTGTCAAAACCATGGAACATTTTCAACTCCATATTTTAATCAAGTATGAACTGTTCCAAGAATTTAAAAAATATTGAAAAGACAAACTCAAGTAAATGTTCCTGATTTTGACCTAGGGATTCACTGAAGCCAAGTTACGTTTTCTTGATTATTCCTTCTACTATTCTGTTTCCTGACTTCAGTTTCCAAATCCCCAAAGCAAGTCATCCAGCAATATTACAGGAAATCTGAATCCTAACAACCTTAATATTCAGTTTTACCATATTTTTGAAATCATCTTTTGTATACAGCAAGGGAAAACTTAGCTTCCTACCAGTGGAACTTTCTCAGGAAAGTTCTTCTCACCACTGAGAATAAATGCAGCATTTCAAAATTGAGTTTAACCAGGCCACTTTTCTACATACAGCAAATTAAACCATGTAATTCCTGAAAAGGCGTGGAAAGGATTCAAAGAAATATTTGAGAACATCTGCAGAAAACAACTATGACAACCATACAAATAAAGGAATACACCAAGTTATGAAGGTATTTTCCTTTAATTTAAACAAACATTTCACATCCATGAAGTCATTTCAGAGCAAATCCAAGGTTATAATATTAAATTTTAAAATATTACAGTATTTACAAGATGGGACAGTTGCTGCTATAAAAATAAGGCAAATATTATCTTTTTCTCTTCAATACCTCCCAGTAAAAATGGCAAACACGTCTGACTTTCTGAAGATGGTGGTCACTTAATATGAGTGAGGGGCTCACAGTAGCAAATGTCTTGTTCCAAATATTCCATTTCTATAACTTTAGACCCTCAACGTTTTTCTTCAAGTTCAGCAGCTCCTTTTCCTGTCGCCGTTTCTCCAGTTTGAATGCTAACTTGTTAGCTTTCTTCTCCACTCTTCGTTCCTGTTCAAGAGTATACTTATATTATTTCTAACCTTTATACTAACATAGACTACTTTTATAAATAAAAGTTTCCTATAGCTTTCCCTCTGCCAGGCAGGGAACAAGTGAAACACAAGCCTTACCTTGCGCTCCTCTTTGATAGCCTGCTTTCTTGCTCTTTTATCTTCCCTGCTTTCATTTTTGGAGCGTGGCTGGGTGGACGCCTTTGGCAGATCACTGCCATTGATCATCTGCATTCGTTCAACTTGCTTTGCTGTGAGTCCTTTCACAGGTAAGACATCGAGAGGTATTCCTGTTTTAGAAGACAGTCGGATTTGCTTGGGCTGAAATAAAAACAAAAGGGTATGACAGTTTTTTGCTATTCCTATTTAAAAAGCAGCTGAATGACAAAATGTTGGTGCTTTTGCTAATACGATCCCCTGTCACAAGAATATAGGCTCTGAGAAAATCCATACATTTCACTCCCTGCACTGCTTTTAAGAGCTCAAAACACTAGACTTACCTTTGGTTGGTACTTGATAAGCTGCGGATGATTGTATAAGTTTGAGTACGTGCCTAAAAAAGAAAAGAAAAAAGAGAGCACATATCAATAAGCATACTTTGAATTTAGCAAAACAGCAAGTTCCTACTATGTTTCTTGCCTTGGTGCTTTCATGGTACAAAATGATATTGGAGTCTTTCTTATAAATGCTTAATTAGAATTCAGTAATAGGAATATTTTCCTCCAAAATAATTTTTTCCACAATTCCCTAAAGCCTAACTTCTACTACAACATACACATTTTTGGGGCTGCTATTAGGCACAACAGCTGAGTCAATACTTGGCATGCCCACATGCCAAGTAAGTATCCAGTTCAAGTCCCAGCCACTTTGCTTTGGCTCCAGCTTCCTGATGTGTATGCTGGAGGAAGCCCACAGTGGTTCAAGGACGGGACTTCCTGCACCTATGTCCAGGAGCAGGACTGAGCTTTGAGGTCCTGACTGCATCCTGGTCTAATGCTAGTTGGTGAAGGCTTTTGGGGAATGAATCAGCAGAAACAAAACCTCTCTTTAAAATAAGATGAAAATAAAAATGACAAATATTGAGTGTCTCTTAAAGTTGATGTGCTTAACTTCCATTAAAAATGTTACCACAGCCCTTTGGCAGTCAAGGGGACATGAAGATACTTACTGCAGATGGATTCACAATCCCACTTCTCCTTAGGTTCTTCAAGAACAACAGTAACAAGCTCTTCCTCCTCACACTCATCAAGCTCATTCCTGGTCAGGTCTTGATCTTCAAAGGGCTCCAGAGTGGTTAATTTCACACAACTTTTGGTTGAATTTTAAAGAGAGGAAAAACATCATTACTCCATGTCAGCTGCACTCTGAGCTACGGAAGCAACAGTAATCCACATGCATGCACTCCAATCCCATGCTCCTCCTTTTTCTGTTCAACTCCACTCTGCCCAGGCCTGCTCCCCTGTCACAGTGGGTTCTAGACATTGACTCTGCTGAAACGTATGGAACATTGTGAGACACATTAAACAGGCTGGTACTTATCCTAAGCAAATCGGCTGTTTTAAAGCCCAGAAAAGCACTAGTTCATTTCTTTTTCCAAAAATATTCAAAGACTATAGCTTCTTTTTGCACTATGGGTTCTGTATAATACAGTAATAATGGAAGCTCAGAATTAATCATCTCAGTAGTTTTTCTCTAAGAAAAGATTTATCTTAAAACAGATATGCATTTGCCAAATAACTGGCCAGTTCTGGTAACTGGTTGGAGAAACAAATTTATTTTTCTAAAAACACAAGTAACCACTTATCATAGCACCTGCTATTTCAGAAAGATTAAAGCAAAGTAGATATTGTTAAGTCAGAATGCTTTTTTAAAAAAAACTGACCAGTCAGAGATGGAGGAAGTGGCTACCTGGCGTTACAATCAGCATCAGAACTCTTCATATCGAAACAAAAACAAAATAATGAGCAAGTGTTTAGCTTAGCAATTAAGACATCCAGGATCCTCATGGGAGTTCCTGAGTTGGATTCCCAGCACTGACTACACGTTCCTGCCAGAGCAGACCCTGAGAGGTGGTGGTGATAGTTCAAGTAATTGGTTGCCTGCTACCCATGTGGGACACCTGTTTTCAGTTCCTACTGAGTAGCTGCCTTGATCGTGGCCCAGCGCTAGATGTCAAGTGGGCATTTGGGGAACATACTAGGCAACCACAAGGTGGGAAGTCTCTGCTTCTCAAGGGGGGTTGGGGGAAGCTAGAAAAAACAGGCACATAACATACAGCACAAGATGCCATTTTCTTATTATGACGGATCATGAGTAGGCAGACTTTCTAGCAAATCACTTGTCAAACTAGACTTTAGAGAGAATAAAAAAAGCACGTAAACAAGAAGTCATCATACTTCTCTGCCTTCTCTTTATAGTAGTCATTCAAAACCTCCTGCAAGCGACTACTGTCTACTTGAATGGAACCTTCCAACTCAGCGTTGTCCAGAGCTCCGATTTCATCATCATCGTACTGTTCATAGAACTTAAAACACAGAGAAAATTCTGTAAGAGATATTCTCAAAACTAAAGCATCCAAACATTATTTTCACAGTAATTTTATTCCTAACAATTATTTAAGCAGTATTCTAAAACCATACAACTGTTATACTATACAAAGGACTTATCATAAATAGTAGGTTGTAGAAGACATCTTAAAGATTTAAGTAGAATATTAGTGAGAAGAGAGAAAAATCTTCCACTCACTGGTTCACTCCCTAAATGGCCACAATGGCTAGAGGTGGACCTGGGTGAAGCCTAGAGCCTGAAACTCCCTCAGTTTTCCTCCAATGAAGGTGGCAGGTTGGGCTTTCATTTGCTGCTTTCCCAAGCACTTCATCAGGGAGCTGACGAGAAATGCCACAGCCAGGACTAGAATCAGCACACTAATACGGCATTCCCGTACCACAAATGCCAGCTCTTGTCACAGAAGACATTTCTGCCCACTGGGTTGTCTTATTTTGTATTTAGCCTGAAATCAAGCTTTCACCGAACGTGAAAATGAGAAGCAATCACTTATAGTTTTGAGCAAAAACTGCCAAGCAGATCTTTTCCCGAGAACATTTTATTTATTTTTAAATATTTTACCCATAACTTGAAAGCTTATTTATTTTATTTGAAAAAAGCAGAAATGACAGATAAAGTGGGGAAATGGGGAAGAGATATCTTCCACCTGCTGGTTCAGTCCCCAAACGCCTTTAAAACGCCTTTAAACAGCTGGGGTTGGATTAGGCTGAAGCCAGAAGCTTTGGAACGCCATTCATGTCTCCCATGATTGTGGCAGCGACCCAAGCACCTGGGCCATTCATCTGCTGTGTCTCAGAAAGTATTAGCAGGAACTGGATCATAAACCCAGGAGTCAAGATTCCAACCGCACTCTGTTATGGGATGTGGAACTTCCCAACAGCAGCCCATTCTAGTGCACCATCATCAGTGCCAGGCTCTCTTCAACATCCATTTGCTACACAAACTTGAAGACTGTATAACTGAGCAGCCTCCTATTAGTGTGTAAAATTCACTCCTGGTTATATGACATTTACTGCTCTACTCAAATACTGTTAGCACTCAAAATACCCAGAAAGTAATGAATCTCTTGGAGTAAAGCAATGTGTAGAAACAGTCTGCTATCTTTTGGGAGGTTGAGGAAAGCAGTGAGAAGATGGCAACATGTGGCACAGTGGTTAAGATGTGGATTGTGACAAACACATTCTGCATCCAAGTACGTGGGTTCAAGTCTTGGCTCTCCTCCCAAATGCAGCTTTCTACTAATGCTCAATCCGGGAGGCTGCAGGGAATGGCTTGACACTTAGGTCCCAGCCACCCATGGGAAACTCCTAGACTGTTTCTGCTTCGTGGTTTCAATTTGGCCCAGAACCAACTATAGCAGGCATTTAGGCAATGAAACCATGGTTGGGAGACCTGTTTTTCTGCCTTTCCAAAAGAATAATATATATATATGTATATATATATATTTTAAAGTTATATCCATTATTAGCCCTAAGCAGTCTGCAGAAACAGAAGAACAATAAACTCCCTTCGGGACCAGGGAGAGGAGCTTTCTCTGGTCCTTACTTAGTTCCAACCCTCTCCTGCAATGACTATCAGGGTCACCCTGGAGGGCCCCCCCCCAAAACAAAACAATTAACAACAAAAAAATTAGAATAGACAGAGAACAACATGGAAAGCTTAGAACCAGACAGAAAATGGTCAGCTTGGACTCACATATACCTAACTAGGTAGGACACGAAAATAAGTTACTCCTAACTAGGGTATTGAAGACTTCTCTGCACACCCCTCCTAAAACTGTTCTGTGCCTCAACTGTTGACATATGCCTTGTTAAAGTTATAAGCCAGTTTGGACTACCCTAAAATCTGCCAAGTTCAGGAAAAATTATGCTTCAATATAATAAATTGCTAAATACAGAAATGAAAATAGACACGAGACAGCTGAGTAGTACCCTATAGCCACTTGAAGGTGGATAGAAGCTAGATGTATATAAACTAATTTAAATGTTAATGAAGTAGTCACAGGATGTGGTTAAGAACCTGCACTTTCTAACTTATCAGTCACTCAATACCATGCCAATTAACCCCATAATGTTGTGAACTGTTGTTGATGTTATGTTATGGCTTTTAATTGGTCAGAACGATATTCTGCCAGCTCTGTCTTGAGACCAGAGATGGTCTGCCCAAGAAACTGTTGAATTGATCTGGATAATAAGATGCTGGACTCTATGCAGGGTACATGCTTGCAATGAAAGAAACAAGACTGGATTTGAACTATAATACTGCAATAAGGTGGAGTAACCCACCATGGGGGGGAGGGTAGGGGAGAGGTTGGGGGAACCTCAGAGCCTATGAAATGATGTCATAAAATGAAATGCAATAATAATAATAATAATAATAAAGTTATATCCACTATTTCAGATTCACTCTGGACGATTCATTAGATAGTCCAACTCCTACTGTATCAATGCCAGACACCCCTTTGGTGCTTGCCTTGGGATGTTCCAATGAAGAATAATACACCAAAATCTCTACCCATGAAGACAAACAATCCTATATACACATAAATCAAAGTTGATGTCAGAAAAGTGTATAAAACAGATTAAGTGGCAAAGAGAACCTGCACAAACATATGGGCTACCAAACGGGATCATCAGCCCCATAGTCAGGACAGAATAAAATTCGGCACATAATTCAGTTTTTTTTTTTTTGTGGTTGCTGTTTTTCTTTTTTCCCCCTTAGGATTTTATGCATTTGAAAGGCAGAGTTAGAGTGAGAGAGAATAAGAAGAGAGATTATCCACTTACTGGTTTACTTCCCAAATGGCAGAATAGCCAGGGATCCAAGACAGGATCCTGAAACTATCCCGGTCTACCGCCAAGTGTGGAGAGGGGCAGGTGAGGGGGTAGGGCAACTTCTGCTTCTCTAGTACATTAGCAGACAGCTGTACCGGAAGTGGAGCAACTGGGACCAGAAATAGTGCTTCTGTGAGATACCAGGACCACAGGCGATTGGTTCATCTACTGTGCCACATCAGACCCCAACAATTCAAGCTTTTAAACTATTTTATTCTCTTAGTCCTCTCTGATCTTTAGCATTAGCTATATTTAAAACTCCAGATATGAGAAATGGAAAAAAATGAAATTTCACCTATGCTCAAATGCATGATCACACCTATGTATTGGCATCAGATTCTAAATCCGTGTCCAACTCAAGCAAAACAGATTAATTGCCTAACGCTTTTGACCTACACACACTCTTTCCAGAATTTAAATCAGAATTGTTTTCTCTCAATAAAAAAGAGATGGGGGGCAGCATTGGGGCTTAGGGGTAGTCACTGCCTGCGACACTGCTATTCCATATGGGCTGGCTGCTCCATTTCCAATCCCACTCTCTGAAAAATGGCCTGGGAAAAGTCGAAGATGGCTGAAGCGCTCATGTCATCTGCTCCTGTCAACACGAAGTGTTCGTGATCCTGCTAACCACACCCAGGACCAGGAGCTCTAAGATGCGTCTGGTTCCTGGCTTCAGCCTGGTCCAGCCCAGTCCTGACTGCTGTGGTCATTTGAAGAACAAACCAGTGGATGGAAGAGCTTTTTCCTCTGATTTCCAAGTAAATAAATAAATAAATAAATGAAATAAACCTAAATTTAAAAAAGAAAAAAAAAGGAGGGGGGATAGTGTTGTGCAACAGAGTAAATTACTACTGTGACAAAGGCATCCCGATAGAACACCAGTTCAAGTCCTGGCCACTCCGCTTCTGACTCAGCTTCTTGTGTCTGGGAAGGCAGTGACAGCCAGCCCACAGGTCAAGTCTCCTGCCACCTGTGTGGGAAACCAGGAGGGATCCGAAGGATAGAATGGCTGTCTCTCTCGCTTACTCTGCCTTTCAAAAAATGTTTGAAAGTTTAAAATAAAAAGACAGTCTAACAGTTTGCATTCCAGCTTTTGGTCTCAATTCCTCTCGGTTTTTTAAATAAATTTTCCTAGTTGACAGTATTAAAATGTCCTCCATTTTGAGAACTTACCTTCTCAAACCTCTCGTCATGTAGGGTCAACTGTTCATTTCTCCTCATGACAGAGGAAGTTATAGAATACTCGGTGAAGCGACTTTTTGTTTCCTCCTCCCAGAACAAGTGGTTTTCTATTGACTGACGCCTCCCAGAGGCAGTCACGTCGTCTTCATCGGATGAGAGGCCTGCGCAGCCGCAGTCATCTCCAACGCTGCTGTCTGCCTTCTCGTCATTCACATCTTCCCACTCAATGCCATCTTCACTCTCACATCTCCTACAAGTTAATCATCAAATTATCTCTTAGAAAAACTTTAGAAACAACGGAACAAAAATTTATAGGAACAACCTTTGTGGAGCATAACGTTAGGCCTAAGGTAGAGATGCTTGTATCCTATACAGAAGTGCTTGGAATCCAATATCACCCATGCTTCTGACCCAGTGTCCTGCTAATGCACACCCCAAGAGGTGGCAGGAACGGCTCCAGTATTTGGGACTCTGCCACCCACATGGCAGACCAGGACTGGGACCTGGGCTCCTGGCTTCTGCTTGGCCCAGCTGATATCACACACATTGAGGGAGTGAAGCAGCAGATTAAAAATCTGTCCCTGTTCTTGAAACAAAATAAAAGTATATAAAACTTAGGGAGGCTATTTCAGGATGGGTTCTTGTTTGGGCAAGACCAATGATGTTGCTGATCCACCTGTCATGAGAGGAAAAACAATGAAATGATAATTAGGATCCTGGGACTTCACCCCCCCAACCCTCCTGAAAAGCTGGTGAAGAATGCATGCATCACATTTTCTGTTGAAAACCTGTAACTCACTCTGGTTACATCTCACTGAAGAAGCAGTCATCAGAGCATCCCTGTTTCCAAACAACCCACACATACCGTGAATCCATTCCGTCTTCTGTGGGTTTATTGGCCTGAAGAACGAAGTCATCTTCAAGCACATTATCAGGATCATCAAAGTCAAAATCATCATCCAGAGCTGCAACGATGTCAGGATCAAAATCCAACCGAGGTCCTAGAGAGAGAATAAAACCTGAGTAATGGCTTCATTCACTTAGTTAACAATCTGAATACCAATTACGTCAATTTTATTTTGGTACTGTGAATACCAGAATGATCAAGAACTTCAAAACTTTCAGTCTAATGAAGCAACATAGAGATGGGCAATTCAAAAATCAAAAATGAAAACACCACCTCCCCAGTTCCACTCTTCCAATACAGATCTCTGAAATGAAACTTTAACTGGTAAATTTCAGAGTTTTCACCTGCAGTTAGAAACTGGGTTTCAAAGTCATCTGTCAGAAGTACCTGCATATAGACTTATTACCCTTACAGCCTTTTTCACACCATAAAGTTCTATTATATACCGCCCTGTTCCTCCAGTTACATTCTCCTCTAGTAAAAACACTAGAATGCAACAACAAAATCCTTCTGAAGTAGATGGGATTCCTGGAGCCTTTTACTGGACTCTTCGTCTCCTTCCTCTGCGCTGTCCCTCAACTGGAACACTCATGTTTCTCCAATACTCCCTTCTTTTTCCCTGAAGGAATGGACTAGATACCTGTCAATTCCTCTGGGAAGCCATTCTTGATCAATTCCAAGGCTGGATTTGGGCATGCTCACCCCACCCACTTTTATTCACCTATACTATCAATTAAAAATTCAGCTACTGTTTCCCCTTCTGAGATAATTCTTTGAGGTCAGGAACTATGCTTTGCTCTGCTTTATCCCATGTTGCTGCCACACAGGGGTCAACTCAAAAGTCTGTAGGAGAAAAATAAAGTGGGACATTTCTGTGCAATAGCATGTTAAGCTGCTGCCTGCAATGCCAGCACTATGGGCACTAGTTAGAGACCTAGCTGCTCCACTTACAACCCAGCGCCCTGCTAACATGCTTGGGAAAGCAACAGAAGATGGTTCAAGTGCTTGGGTTCCTGCACCTACAGAGGAGACCCAGAAGTAGCTCCTGGCTTTGACCTGGACCAGACTAAGCAAGTGTTGCCATTTGGGGACTAAAACAGCTGAGGAAAGATTCTCTCTGCTTCTCTTTAACTCTGCCTTTCAAATAAACAAATCTCTTTTTTTAACATCTGTGGAATAAGCCTTACGCTGCTGCTTGAGTGGCAGTGTGCTCGACTTCCGCTTCCACTCTGGCTTCCTTCTAATGAACCGCATGGGAGGCAGCAAGTAACAGATCCAGTACCTAGGATCGATCCTACTACCCATGTGGAAGACCCAGATGAAAACCAGGGCACCTGAGCTTCAGGCTGGCCATCCCTGCAGAATGAACATCTGGACGGAAGCTTTCTCTGCCTTTCAAATGAGATGAAAACAGAAATTGAGGCCACTTAGGAGAAAATATCAAATACCATTTCTGTGAGTTTTGTGTGTGCTCTAAAAGTATAAAACCAGTACTGGAAAGAAACTTTTGCACTGTATTCTGAATGGATAGTAACATAAAATTCTACATGTCTTGGGAGAAATTCGGAAAAGCAAATTCTTCAAAATCATTCTCTTGGTAATGATGACTATCACTTATCTCCAAGAAATTAGGTGAAGGTTAAAATTCCTTTTACATAATGCCAAAAACTATTTTCCCACTTTGCTCTCCAAATAAGATCTCTCAGAATTTGGTGGCAGTCACAAAAGCCCACAACAACAGCTTTCCCTGATAATCAATAATCCGAAATCCAGGCAAGATCAACACTTTATCAGGTAGAGGAGCATTATACATCATCACTTTCTCTGTTCCAAAGCACAAACTGATCCATGAGAAAAGCTAAAGAAATCAAACATACCTGAAACTGGAGCTGCTTTATTCAGTAATCCAACATCTTCCTCAAACTCCGATGCAAACACCGAGGAAGGCAGTTTAATTCCAGTACTCTTGTAAAAGGAATCATACAATGGCTAGGTCAAAAAGCTTTCTTATCTTCTACATTTGGCTAAAAAATCCACTCCCTAAATTCACGCACAGCAGAACCTCAGATGTCAGCATCTTCCAGAGAGAGACCTTAAGGCTCGTGTTGGGGTTTAGCGGGTTTAGCAGCTGCCTATAATGTCAGCGTTCTGTACATGCTCCAGGTGTGGCAGAGCTGCTTCATTTCCCTGTAACGCATCTGGGAAAGTAGCAGAAGACGGCTCAAGTACCCCCATGTGGGACACACAGATTATGCTACTGGCCTCTGGCTTTAGCTTGTCCAGCCTTGGCTGCTGTAGCCAACTGGGAAGTGAACAAGTGGATGGAGGGTCTCTCTCTCTCTCTCTTCCTTCTAAGTCTGCCTTAAATATTAAAAAAACAAAACACACAACAAGAGTATACCTGAATCACAGTCCATGCAAGCATCATTAGTTAAGGTGAACTCATACTGGGTGAATGTGGGACTTCATTCTCTGAACTGGTCCTTGAAAGGCCACACACACACACACACACACACACACACACAGGGACACTGAGGGGAGAGCGTCACATGAAGAGGAGGCTGTGGTGCACCCACCTACAAGCCAAGGAGCCCTCACGACTGACAAGTCACAGCATGGCAGGAGAGAGCCTCCCTCCCGACCGCCACCTGCTGGACTTCAGACTGCTGGGTGTCACACCTGTGAGAGAACACATCTCTGCTGTTTGAAGTCACCCAGTCTACAGTCACTGTCACTACAACCAAGGAAACTGTGACACTTCCACCACTAATCGCCTCCCCTGCTCCTGCTATTTTAAATTGTTACATTCCATCGGGTACCTCAAAAGCAACTTCCCTGCTGTATGTCACAATGCTTTTCCTGCTACTCTACTGCCACCAATCCTCAAGCCTTTTGAGGAAATGATTGTTTTCAATGAAAGAACTCAAGCCAAAAGGCACACAATGGCTTAAGACTGGGCAAGGCAGCTTTGTGGGATTCAAATCCAGGTTTCCTCACACTAACCATCCTCAGGCCAGCTGTAACACAAAGCTGGTTTGGACACTTCTGGAGGTTTACCAGGAGCACTGCCCAGGACCATGAGGAAAAGGCCTCTGCCACACATGATCCCATTAGCACAAGAGACTACGCCACAACTTTACAAAGCACAGCTAGTACGGCCTCCAAAGTGAATCGCTCAGCAGCATAAACATGAGCAAAGATCTGAGTTCTTTGCCATAGAGATTGACTTCTAAAAACAAGTTTCCTAAGATTTATTTCACATACAATACAATGCACTCATAAAATGAGGTGGATGGATGCTTGACTTCATGCTTGAGACACCCTGGAATGCTGGGCCTGACATCTGCCTTTGGCTCTTGATCTCATGCAGCCCCTGGGAGAAGCAGGCTTGCTTATACACTCAGGGCAGACCTGGCTTGAGTTCCTGGCTTCTAGCTTTGGTCCAGCCCAAATTGGCTGCTGTGGGCATCTGAAGAATGTAAGAGTTATTTCTATCCCTTGAATTTTTTTTTTTAAGATTTATTTTTTTTATTATTATTTTTCATTGGAAAGACGGATATACAGAGAGGAGAGACAGAGAGGAAGATCTTCCATCCAATGATTCACTCCCCAAGTGAGCGCAACGGTCGATGCTATGCCGATCCGAAGCCAGGAGCCTCTTCCGGGTCTCCCACGCGGGTGCAAGGTCCCAAAGCTTTGGGCCGTCCTCAACTGCTTTCCCAGGCCACAAGCAGGGAGCTGGAAGGGAAGCGGGGCTGCCGGGATTAGAACCGGGGCCCATATGGGATCCCGGGCGTGCAAGGCGAGGACCTTAACCTCTTGTGCCACCGTGCCGGGCCCAATATCCCTTGAATTTAAAGCTCAGGGTAGGGGACTGCAATGCTGATATCCCATATTGGTGATCTGGCTCTAGTCTCAGCTAATCCACTTCTGATCCATCTCCTGCAATGTGCCTGAAAAGCAGTGGAAGATGGCATGAATGCTTGGGCCCCCTGAAGCTATGTGGGAGAACCAAAAGGAGTTTAATTCCAGACTCCTGGCCTCAGGTTGGCTGAGTTCCAGCCACTGTTCCCATCTGGGGAGTAAACCAATGGTTGTATAAAATCTGTGTAATTCTGTATGAAAAGCAAATAAATCAATCTTTAAAACAAAGTATGCCCAGTGTGGCCAGCTGAGTAAGCCGACATGCCTGTGAATTCACCGTAGAAGCCAACAGTTAGTGGCCCAAATATCTAGGTTCCTGGCTTCAGCTTGGTCCAGGCCTCACCATGTGGCCAACGGGGGAGTGAACCGACCCATGGAAGCACTCTCTCCCCATCACTGTCCCTTTCAAAAAAATCAATCACAAAACCAAAAATATTGTAAGCCTGTCAAAAGGCTGTGACTTCACACCTGCTGCCTACTCTCTTGAGACACAGATGCACACACACACAACATCCAGTGGAGGCTCAGCGTATCTCTGGGCTTGTAAGACACCATTTCTTGCCCGGTTATCTTGATTTGAAAGTGAGGGTTTCTGCACTAACTTCCACCTGCTCACTTACAACTGTGGAAAAGGCTTACTGGAATGACCAGAGTTTCTTCTTTTTCCTCTCTCCTGCTGTGTGCACTCCAAGCGCTTGTGGGGATGAGCTCTGAGGGCCCCGACGGCTCCTTCAGGTGCTGCAGGTAGTCATAGTCATCGTCGAAGAACACTCCGTACTTCCTCTGTTCTGCTCGCCTCTCCTCATCGTTGACCTTGGGATACGAACAAAACAGAATCAGTACCTGCTCCAAGGACAAGGCATACACATGCGGCAGATTCGAGACAAGAGGCAGACGACACACAAACACTTGGTGCCAGCTGCACAAACTCCGAGCTTCCCAAGCAAAGGGCACATCAACTTACAATGGAAGGAACACAGCTTCTCCCCCCACCCCCCAGACACAGCTATGCCGCAATGAGAGCCAAACACACAAATATTGCATACAACTGTATTTCACAACGTCATGGGGAACAAAGTTGAAAGAAGTTTTGAGGAAAAGCATGTGTTAATACATTTTTCACAAACACTGAAAGAATGCTTCCATTATTACTATTTTTTTTAGTATCAAACAATTATAATTTCTGATGAAACTTTTGAATGACACTTATATTTGAAGGATTAAAAGACTTGAGGGCCCTGAGAGATGCATACAACTTCTTGTATTTATATGCATAGGAATGTCAACAGATAAGCTAATTGGCTTTGCAGAAAAAGATTCACCAATGTTTCCCATCATCCCCTTCAGCACAGTCCACACTTAGCAAGCACAGTTCCACTGAACCAATCAGTCTCTTCCAAGCTCCCTGGCTTTTCCTAACACTAACCCAGGAGCTCAGATGTACACTGCTTCGCAAGGGTGAGTGACCAGGGAGGCGGCAGAATGCAATACATGGTGAAGAGATGGCTGCATCTGGGGGGAAGCAGGTAGGAACATATGGTCGTGCTCAAAACAACATAGGGCAACTCGGTAGTTGTTTAGTAAATTTATCATTACTCTGCAAAAACTGTTCAGATAAATATTTCAAAGATGTTTTACTCATGTGAAGGATGTAAAACGTTAGCAGGTGTACTATGCAGGGGCTCAAGTGCTTGCGCTGTCTTCCCCTGCTTTCCCAGGCACATCAGCAAGAAGCTGGAACAGAAGCAAAGCACTGGGACTTGAATATGTCATTCCCATATGAGGTGTCAGCGGCCTTGCACGCCGCAAGCTTAACTTGCACCCTGGCTGACTTCCTGTTAACTAACAGCCTGTGCACAAACTGAGCAGCTAGACTACGAGACTTACTTTCTGGGTTGGGAGAAGAACCCTCTGCGGTGCCGTTTCATCTGCTGCCAAAGGATCTCGCTGGCTCCGGTGAACGAGGTGGAAAGACACAGCTTTCTTCTTCTCTATAAATGGCTTCTTCTTCCGGTGAGGCTTCAAGGGAACAGAATTGGAACACAGCATCAACACAGAAACCCATCGCAAGGAATCTGCCAGTCTTAACACACATCACCAGTAAGTTTTTAAAAACTCTACACCTGCAGGGCGGGCAACTTTTCGCTGTGTTCTAGAGAAGCCCAACTTTTATTTGCTGCAACAGACACTGGCTAAGCAACTAACTACTGAGTGAGACCTTGCTGTGAGAGCTGGGGCCACAGCGTGAGTTACCACATCGGGTTCCTGTTGGCAATCCAACACGGAGAACGACTTCACGTGAGAGGCAATGGCTGAAGCACTCCTTACACTGGGTGTTCCCAAAGCTCCCTCACAGGTTGAACCACAAAGATCAGGAAGTTTACGTATACCCATACAGCACAGCGCCAATAGCCACGGTTTCATTAACACGGGTACTCATCTCTCGCTCTCCTCAGCCTTGGCTTTTCTTCAAACGGAAAATCCAATTAGTACGCTGGCTTTGGGTCCAAGCTGGCGCTCCCACCGGGAGCCCCCTTTTCCCAGATAGGGAGGCGACACCTGCCCGACCCCGGGGCAGCACTGGGGGGAGTTTAGGTGGCCGGCGTCCCAGCGGGGCCCCAGGGATAACAGCGGTGTCCTGTTCCTCCGGTCACTGCCGGGACGCTGGGCCGTGAGGTGCTGCTGAGGAGGAACCGCTGCGGGGCGACCAGCAGCGTCAGCCAGCCAGTCCCAGACCGCAGGCGCTGCCGCCATTCCCGCCAACACCCCGCCTCCGCCCCGCAGCCGAGGCGCCCGACGCCGGCTCACCATGGCGCGGCGAGGAGCCCCAGGGGAAAGGCGACCACCACACTCTGCAGTTCAGGGCAAGGCCCAAGTGCCCGGCAGCGTCCCTGCTTCTCCACACGTGCGGCGACAGCACCCGGCGATGTCGTCACGCGGCACGCGGTGCGCAGGGACCAATCGCCGAGCAGCGGCTGGATCGCGGCCGGAAGTACGTCCCCACCTGCTCCGTCTCAGCGCTCGCGAGAAGCGACGGGGAGGCGGGGCTAGCCGGGTTCCCACTCCGCGGGGGGCGGAGCGCTTCCGGCCAGAGCTTGCCTACAGAGAGGAGGATGGCGCCGGGCTGCTGGAGCCGGGGCCGCGGTTTTGCTCTCCCCTAGCGTGTTGTACATCCGGTGGAAGACGGGAAAGCCTCTTACAGGTGCACAGAGAGAAGGTGGCCCGGCTCCCATCGCTGAGCTGACCTTGCTGGGATGCGGAGGAAGTCTTTGCCACGAAGAACTGGGCCTTGTTGCTTCAGGCTATTCCAGACTCAACGAAAGTCTTCCTTTATCGCTCTGAATGAACCGCCTTTGTAGTCTTGTTGGCCACACAGACGTTTGAATTTAAAAAACATTCAGGTGAAGCTGGCACGGTAGCTCAATAAACTAACCCTCCATCTTCAAGCACCAGCATATCATCTGGGCGTCGGTTCGAATCCTGTTTGTTCCGACTCAACTAACTACTTATGGTCTTGAAAAGCAGTGGAGGATGGCAAAAGTCCTTGGGACCCTGTACCCACGTACAAGGGACCTGGAAGAAGTTCCTGGCTCCTGGCTCCGTTGTGGCCGTTTGGGAAGTGAATCAATGCATGGAGGATCTTTCTCTGTCTTTGCTTCTCTGTAAATCTACTTTTCCGAAATAAATCGTCAAAGAAAAAAAAAAGATTTTTTTTCAAGTTCTCTGATATTTGCATACCTTATCTTACAAAATGGAAAAGTAATGCTGCTTCTAAGTTGTCTCTGAAATGCTTCCCTGTGATTTAAGCAATAGGCTATGTAGGCATACCTTGGGAAAGTTGGGCAGTTGCTGCTGCACATTGCTAGCTTTTCTTTGACAGAAGATATAAGTACATTTCAAAAATATATCAGTATACTTTTTCTCTCAAATTTGTGCTTCCACTCCACCCCCATTTCTGTTGCTTTCTCAATGTCTGAGTTATCTGGATTCATGCATTTATACATATTACTATTATAAATATTGTGAATTTTTATGATTTATTTCATTTGAAAGTGATACAGAGTGAGAATCTTTTGTCCACTGGTTCACTCCAAGTACCTGGGTCACGCTCTTCTGCGTTCTCAGTTATCTTAGTAGGGCACTAAATTAGAATTGGAGCAGCTGGCACTCCCAATTCACATTCCAATATAGGATACCAGCAATCACACCTGGTGGATTAACTTGCTATACCGCAACACAGGCAGCAAATATTCTGTCATTAAAATAAAACTTGCAGAAATGATTTTGGTTAGGACCACAGATTTTGTCTTGCTTTGTAATACAGGGGCGATAACATATTACTCTTGTTTGTTATGTAGAATTAAGGGTGGATGTTGAATTATTTCTGCCTGCTTTGTTTACTCCTGTATGTCTTCAGGGACTAGAGCAAATGAATGTTCTAACACTTTACCTGACTCACCTCATTTATTCCTGCCAATAACACTGTGACAACAGTGTCATTATCTTCAACATCTTGCAGCCACTAAAGGTAAGACATAAGTTGGGATTTTCTTATGACCAAGCAACTAATAACTGGAAGATAAGGGATTAAAACCCAAGGTGTCTGAATATAGCATGGCTTCCTAATCACTTTGCTACCCCCACCCCCGTTTTTTAAAGATGTATTGATTTTTATTAGAAAGGCAGGTTTACAGAGAGAAGGAGAAGCAGAAAGATCTTCCATCTGCTGGTTCATTCCCAAAATGGCTGTAATGACCACAATCAAGCCAATCTGAATCCAGGAGCTTCTTCCATGTCTCCCACATAGGTGCAGGGTCCTAAGGATTTGGGTCATGGTCTACTGCTTTTCCACATCACAGGCAGGAAACTGGATCAGAAATGGATCAGCTGGAGCACGTACCAGCGCTGTGGGGGATGCCACACTCACAGGCAGCTGAGCCATTGCACTGCTCCCAGCCTTTTTTCCCCTTTTGGAAAATATTCATTATATATTTGTTGACTTAAACACTAAAAGCAAGTGGTAAATACTCTGTATTCATTATGTCATCTAATTCCTCCAACAAGCCTGTGAATGGCATGAGTTAGCAAGAAAGCCGATCTCCCAAGTGCAGAATCCAAGGCTCAGAGAGTGAAAGTTTTTACTTTGATCACACGTCAAGTGGAAAAACCTAGTATTGTTGCCCGCCAGGCCAGTTTAGAAAGGTGCTTGTGTATGTTGTAAAGTTTCCCTAAAGGATTCAACCAGAAAACTACTCATCCTCCCTCCTACAGGCCTATTTTATTGAATTACCAGCCTAAGCACTCTACTTAAGTCACTCCCCTGTATAAAATTCTTCATTAACGTCTGGTCTCAGCAGAAAGTTTAAGGTTTTTCTTTTTACTTAGCATACAAGATTATATCTCACCTGGTTTCCAGGCATCAATTCTGGTGCCCCTAATAAACCTCAGCCTTCGACCATCAGTCAGAGCCCACGCATGTTATTATCGGCTCCATGCACCAAGTCCATCTCTGCAGGACAGCGACACACAATGAGGATTTTGGAGTCTATAGGAATTGCTTAAAGCATTTGGCTCAAGGTTGCAGTCAAATTCTATGTGTTTAACCACATGTTTTGATCTTTCTGTTTCAGGTGGTAACTAACACAGCTTTATCAGTGCTTGGAAAGGTACATGGACCCTGCTTGGTTTCAAACTTGCAGATACAAAAAACAAAACAAAAAAAAACTTGTGGTTGGCCAGGTCAAGCAGCGATTGAGACACTGCTTCACTAACAAAAGTGGAGGGAACAGGAACCGCGTGCCATCTCTGCCTTTCAAAATCTCATACTCATCAAAACTGCAGCCTGTCCTGTACTGCTCTCACTGTATCTTGTTATTGCCCTACTCTGCATTGCACTGCACAGTAATTCCCTCTTTGCATCTATCTGTAGAACCAGACTTCAATAACCTACTTACAAAGCAAGGATCTTTGTCTTGCTGGCTTTACTTCCACCAGGCCTAACTAGCACAGTAAAGACTCGGTAATAATTGCATCTTTCAAAAAACTTTTCATATCTTAACTCATTATAACCTTACATAGGATTAAAGTAGACATAAGGTTATAATCCTTTTACCAATTAGAGATTGAGGAAAAGAAAGGTAACTGACTTTTGCCCATGGCACAAAGGTAACAAAAGATAAAGACAGAATAAGAATTTGAGTTTAGCTTGATAGTCACTTCTTTAACTGTTACAATAATTCTATTGAGAAAAAAGAAAACCTCCCCATTACATGGTGGCAGGAGCTAGGTCCCTTAAGGAAGACTCCAGTTGAGTACCTTGCTCCCCATATTGTAGTGCATGCATTTGAGTCTTAGTTGTACTCCCCATTCTGGTCCCTGCTGATGTGGATTCTGGGAAGCAGCAGGATGTGGCTCAAATATTTGGGTCCTTGTCACTTGCATGCATGGGAGATCTGAATTGAGTTCTCTACTCCTATCTCTGACCTGAATTAATCCTGGTTAGTGTAGGCATTTGGGAAGTAAACAAGCAGATGACAGCAAGAGTCTCTGTCTCTCTCTCAAATAAATGACTACCTCAGAACAGATGAGCCTACATGTGTCGAAGACTGTTCTGAATACTGGTTTAACCTACAAAATGTTTTGTTCCGGTGATTCAAAGCACCCATAACTGAGCAGCAAAGATAGTAAATTTAAGCCAAGAACTCCTACTCTAGTTATTGGTATGCATTTAAAGTTCTTATTTAGGGGTAGGCATTGTGGTAGAGAGTGGTAAAACTGCCACCTGTGGTGTTGGCATCCTTTATAGGTACTGGTTCATGTCCTGGCCGGTCTACTTCCAATCTAACTCCCTGGTAATATTTAGGAAAAGCAACATACAATGGTTCAAGTGCTTGGGCTCCTGTCACTCCCACATGACGGACCCGGATGAAGCTCCTGGCTTTTCCTGGCCCGGTGCTGGCTGTTACAGTCATCTGTGAGGTGAACCAGTGGATGGAAAAATTCTGTGTGTGTTCTTCTCTGTATAACTTTCAAAAGAAATAAATACATCCTTAAAAAATAAATAAGTGAAATTCTATTTATTTATTTATTTATTTTATTAGGAAGTTCTATAAAGAAAGAAGATAGAGACGCATAGAGATCTTCCATCCCCTGGTTCATTACTCAGATGCCTATAATGGCCAATACTCAGCCAGACCAAAGCCAGAAGCAAATAACTCCATATGGATTTCTTATATGGGTGTTAGAAACCCAAGCAATTAAGCCATTGTGTCCTGCTTTTCATGAATGTTCATTAAAAAATAATAAATAGTGACTGGCACAATGGCTCAATTGGCTAATCCTCTATCTGCAAATGCCAACACTACATATGGGTGCCAGTTCATATCCTGGCTGCTCTACTTCCCTTCCGGTTCCCTGCTTATGGTTTGGAAAAACAACAGACAATGGCCCAAAGCCTTGGGACCCTGCACCCATATGGGATGCCTGGGAG